AGTCGGATGCTTAACCGACTGAGCCACCCAGGTGCCCCTCAAATTATTTTATTCCAAGCCTCCATCTTACTGTAAACCTTTGAGAGACACCCAAGGAAGAACTACCTACCTGAGCCTAATCAATGCCTGAATCTATGAGGTAACAATGATTTGTGTTATTTTAAGCTACAAAGTGTGTGTGTGTGTGTGTGTGTGTGTGTGTGTGTGTGTGTGTGTGTGTTTTGAGAGAGAGAGAGAGAGAGCTCAGCACGGAGCCCAACACGGGGCTCAATCCCACGACCATGAGACCATGACCCGAACCGAAATCAAGAGTCGGACGCTCAACCAACTGAGCCACCCAGGAGCCCCTAAGCTACTAAGTTTAAGTGTGATTTCTTCCATAGCAGTAGATTACCAGAAGAATATGTATAGTATAAAGTGGTTGCCTCAAATAGAGCATGCAAAGATTTGTCCCAAGTATTCACAAATATACAGCCAAGAAAATGCCCCATTATGTATACATATTTATATATGAAGACTAACCTATATAATACAAGGGTTCTGATTCCAGCTAACACAGAATAATCACATTCAACCCATTCTCTCCCACTGGATGCAGCGATAAAACCTGAAAGGAATGTGTGGATCAGCTATTTGAGGACCCTAAGAAAATTGTACCAGGTAAATTGAGGAAGAGCAGCAGAATTTGAAGTAAAACAACAAGCAGGCAGGGAGTTTGCCATTTTTTTTTCCCTCCAGGAGCCACTGGGCTGAACTCAAGGCAGCCCAAAACCCAGAAGGGGACATTGACATGGACAGCGAGAACACCAGGAAAAATAGGAACTAGAGCCCCTAATGTTTGGAGAAAGTAGGGAAGTACACCAATTTTCCTTTTCCCTGTTCTCTCGCACCCTTGCCAATAGTCACCTCCCCCCCCCCCCCCCCCCCCCCCCCCCCACTGCATCTGAGTCAACAGTGACAGTGAGGGAGCAGTGCTGACGGAGGGGGGGACACTTCCTCTCTGGTCTGGAATAGCTGTGGTCCCAAGACAGTGGGGGCAAAGGCCCATTGATTTACCTTTTTTCTCTCTCTGTTCTCCTGCTGCTTGGCCCCAGACATGGGTGACGTTGCAGGAAGTGGACGGCAGAGAGAAATATACTCAGATTTCTCGCCGAAGGATTGAAAAGAGGAACTCCAAAGAACTGCAAAGTCCCAGGGAGATTGTGGAGAGGGAAGAACTTGGGAAAACAACCCTATAGGGTGGTTTATGAGCTCCTAGATTCACCCTAACCTGCATGTGGATCTTATCCTAAAGGACATACCAAAGACTGTGAAAACTGAACTAAGAAACTGATCGCCACCCAGACCCTAGACTGGCCACTGGATAAAACACTAGTGGGACAAATCAAAATAGCTCTGCAAAAGTTTTGAAGATTGAATTGACTTTGGAACCATCATCCACAAAAGGAAGGTCAGAACTCACAATCTGGACCCCCAACCATGTTGACTACAAGCTAAAACAAAAATATGAATATTCCTCCATGGGATTAAAATAAAACATAAGGCCCCATAACATACTACCAAAAATGTCCAGGGATGCCTGGGTGGCTCAGTTGGTTAGACGGCCAACTTCAGCTCAGGTCATGATCTCACAGTTTGTGAGTTTAAGCCCCACATCAGGCTCTGTGCTGACAGCTCAGAGCCTGGAGCCTCCTTCAGATTCTGTGTCTCCCTCTCTCTCACTCCCACTCACACTCTGTCTCTGTCTCTCTCAAAAGTAAATAAAAACATTTTAAAAACAATTTATAGGGGCGCCTGGGTGGCGCAGTCGGTTAAGCGTCCGACTTCAGCCAGGTCACGATCTCGCGGTCCGTGAGTTCGAGCCCCGCGTCGGGCTCTGGGCTGATGGCTCAGAGCCTGGAGCCTGTTTCCGATTCTGTGTCTCCCTCTCTCTCTGCCCCTCCCCCGTTCATGCTCTGTCTCTCTCTGTCCCAAAAATAAATAAACGTTGAAAAAAAATTTTAAAAAAAATAAAAAATAAAAAATAAATAAAAAAAAAATAAAAACAATTTATAAAAAGTGTCCAGGATACAACCCCAAATTATTCAGCACATGAAGAACTATGAAACTCTCAACTATTGATTGCCTATTGAAAAGGCAATCAATCGGGGCCCCTGGGTGGCTCAGTCGGTGGAGCGTCTGACTTGGGCTCAGGTCAGGATCTCATAGGTTCATGAGTTTGAGTCCCACGTCCGGTGAGCTCGAGCCACGCTTCAGGTGAGCTTGAGCCCCACTTGGGGTGAGCCCTGCTTCTCTCTTCCCCTCCTTTTCTCTCTCTCTCTCTGCCCCTCCTGGGATTCTCTCTCTCTCCCTCTCTCTCTCTCTCTCTCACCTGTGCCCTCTCTCTCTCTCAAAAAAAAGAAATGTTAAAACTGAAAAATATAATAACCAAGATTGTATTCTTTTAAGAGAGAGAGAGATTTATTTATTTATTTTGAGAGAGATACAGTGAGCAAGAGAGGGGCGGGGGTGGGGGGGTGGGGAGAGACAATCCCAAGCAGGCCCTGCTCTGTCAGTGCAGAGACTGAGCCCACAAACTGTGAAATCACGACCTGAGCCAAAACCAAGAGCCAGGCGCTTAACCAACTGAGCCACCCAGGCGCCCCAATAACTGAGATTTTAAAAGGATTAGATTAGAATGAAGATGAGAGGGTCAGTAAATTTGAAAAGAGATCAATAGAAACGATCCAATCTTAACAACAGAGAGGAAAAATTGAGAAGTAAACAAAATAGCCACATGGTCCTGTGGGATATTAACAAAAGTCTACCATTCACGTCTTTGGAGCCCCCAAGGCAGGAGAAAGTGTGATGCAGCAAAAAAAAATACAAAGATATAAAAACTGAAAACATTCCAAACTTACCAAAAGATGGAAACCTGAAGATTCAAGAACCTCGGCTCACTCCATACAGGATAAACTCAAAAGAACCAATGCCCAGACATATTATATTCAAGCTGGTGGCAAAAAAGACAAAGACAATACATTTAAAGCAGAAAAAGAAAAAAAATGGCACATTACATCGAGGGTAACAGCAATCCAAATGACTATGAATTTCTCATCAGAAACCAAGAACGTCATAAAGAAGTGCACAACATTTTTAAAGTGCTGAAGGAACTGTCAACCCAAAATAATACATCCAGCAAAAATAGCTTTCAGGAACGACAGTACAAGAAAGACATATTCCAAGAAAGGAAAACTGAGAGACTCCATTGCCAGAAGACCTGCTATAAAAAGACAGCTAAGCGAAGTTCTTCTTTTCACCAGTTCTTTAAGATATGATCCGCGATTGAAAACAAAAAGTATTTAAAGAAGAAAACAAAAGTTGTAACATGGCCTAATGGAATTTTCAAAATATGTAGATGCAATTCACAAGCACGGCATAAAGGGAAAACGAAAAAGGGACCTACAGATTAGTGTGTTTTTCATATCCCGCTTGAATTGGTAGACGTTGATTCTAGATTGATTCTAAAAGCTTAAGTATGTATATTGTATTCCCTAAAACATACAAAGAGATACAGAAAAACCGTAGTAGATAAATTAAGTGGAATGCTAAAAAATGGTAGGGGTGCCTGGGTGGCTCGGTCGGGTAAGCACCCAACTCTTGATTTTGGCTCAGGTCATGATCTCACAGTTCACGAGTTTGAGCCCCGTGTCGGGCTCTGTGCTGGCAACGCAGAGCCTGCTTGGGATTGATTCTGATTCCCTCTCTCTCTGCCCCTCCCCCAAATTAAATAAATAACCTTTAAAAAAGAGAATACTAAAAAATGTTCAAGGAAACCTACAAAGAGGCAGGAAAGAGGAAGCAGAGGAACAAAGAACAGAGGGAACAAACAGAAAACCATAAAATGTTCCACCTAAATCCGAACGTGTCAATAACGACATTAAATGTAAACAGTCTTAACAAATCACATTAAATTTAAACAGTCTTAACAAATCGATTAAAAGAAATGTCATAATGGATTTAAAAAAAAAAAAAACTAGGACCCCAAAAGGAGTGTTCACAAGAAACTCGCGTCAAATATCCTGACATAGGTAGGTTTAAAATAAAAGGATGAAAACATTTATACCACGTAAAACATTAGTAATAGAGAGCTAGAGGGGTGCTTGGGTGGCTCAGTCGGTTGGGCGTCTGACTTCAGCTCAGGTCACAATCTCGCAGTTCATGAATTCGAGCCCCACATCGGTCTCTGTGCTGACAGCTCAGAGCCTGGAGCCTGCTTTGGACTCTGTGTCTCCCTTTCTCTCTGTCCCTCCCCCATTCACGCTCTGTCTTTCTCCGTCTCAAAAATAAGTAAACATTTAAAAAATTAATAATAGAGAGCTAGAGTGGCTTTATTAATATCAAATAGGTTAGACTTCCCAGCAAAACAAATTACCAGGAACAGAGAGGGACATGACGCAATCACAGATCTGCTCGCCAAGAAGACATTACAATCTGTATTCATTTTGTAGTGTTGCAGAACAAATTACCACAAACTCAGTGACTTCAAACAATGCACATTTACTATCTCACAGTTTCTGTACGTTAGGAGTCATGGCACGGCTTAACTGGGTTCTGTGCTTTAGGGCGTCTACAATGCAGGTGTCTGCTAAGGCTGCAGTATCATCGTAACCTTGACTGGGAAAAGATCCACTTCCAAACTCATTTGGGTTTCGGCGGAATTCATTTCCTTGAACAGAGCTTAATCAAGAGCATGACATCCCATCGCCATTGCCGTCTTCTACTGGTCAGAAGTCCCAGGTCCTGCCCCGACTCCTTCTTAGGGACTGCCTACCACACAATCCTAGATGCATCCAATACCAGAGTTTTTTTGTTTGTTTGTTTGTTTGTTTGTTTGTTTGTTTGTTTTTCAATACCAGAGCTTTAAAATACATGAAGCAGGGGCGCCTGGGTGGCTCAGTGGGTTAAGCGTCCGACTTCGGCTCAGGTCATGATCTCACGGTTCGTGGGTTCAAGCCCCGCCTCGGGCTCTGTGCTGACAGCTGGGAGCCTAGAGCCCGTTTCGGATTCTGTGCCTCCTTCTCTCTCTCTGCCCCTCCCCCACTCGTGCTCTGTCTCCCTCTGCCTCAAAAATAAATACACATTAAAAAAAATTAAAATGCATGAAGCAAAAGCTGACAGAAAAGAAAGGAGAAATAAGCATGTCCACCATTAGAGCTGGAGACTTCAATACTCCTCTCTCAGTAAGAGCTAGAACTTACAGACAGAAAAACAGTAAGGATATAGATCTGAACAACACGAGCAACCAACTGGATCTAATTGACGTCTATATAACACTCCACCCAGCAACACCGGGATACACATTGTCTTTAAGTGCACGGGAGACAAAAGTCTGAAATCGGTTTCACTGGGCGAAAGCCAAGGTGTCAGCAGAGCTGGCTCCTTTTGGAGGTTCTAGAAAAGAATCCATTACCCTGCCTTTTCCACTTATGGAACTGCATTACTTGCCTTATGGCTCCTTCCTCCATCTTCAAAGACAGCAGCGTAGCATCTTGTTTTTGTTGTCACGCCTCCTGCTTTCTCCTTTGACCTTCTTGCCTCCCTCTTTTTTTAAAAAAATTGTTTTTAACGTTTATTTTTTTTTTT